GTAAAGGAGACGGAGTTGGCCAGCCGGGCAAAATGTAGAGGCATTATCAAGCGGGTAAATAAACAGACAGGACCCGTCGAATGTAATGACGCGTTAACGGTGTCGGAAGAGACAACGATGGCTGAGACGACGCCTCAGATATCGTCGTGGGAAAGGGCTCGCCGAAAAAGAACGTGGAAACACAAGAATAGATCGAGCGAGCACCGCAAAAAGGGGCGCAAGCGCTGTTCGAAGTACTCAAGATAGGTGCTGAGGTGGAATCAGAATGTGTTCGGCAGGGCTGAGTGACATATGTTGTGTTAATGTTCTTGTTATCCTGTGTCTCAGGTGTATGTCGAGTGAGTCAGTGTTCTGTGCGATGGTGTGATGTATAGTGTTGTATAATTGTTGGATAGACAGAACTTTGTACGTTTGTATTGTTTAGAATGTGTGATGAAGTGTTGTAGGCATGTACCTGTGGCTATATTTCATGTGTTGTGGAATTGAACTACAATGTACGATTGTATTGAGAGATATAGTGTGAATGTGAAGTGTCATGAGCGACGGATTGTGTTACAGTCTGTGAGAGTGTGTGGTGACTGTTCGCGCTCGTTTGTGTGGTTTGAATATTATGAGATAATATTCTTAAAGTGGGGGGCAGTGTCACAGAACGAGCGCTAAAAAAGAGCGCGCCGCCAAATCCTTGCGAAAACGGCGGCAGAAACGCCGCGAGGTAAAAAGAAAAAAAAAAGAAAGCAAACATCCAAGGCTCCCGGGCCCGCGCTCTCCCCGCAGAAGCATGGCTTCGCAGACGAACCTCCTCACCCCACATCGGCGGCCCAGCAAGGCCGCGATTTTTCTAGAACGAAGGAGGCGGGGTCAGACCAAGTGAATCATCCTCCGGAGAGAGCAGTCGAACCGTCTCGTGCCTCTCCCCAGCCTTCGCTGCGTATCGCGCCGACGAAATGACGAGAAACATCTGGAAATTCGCGCGCAAGGTATTTAACCGAGCAGCGGAGACGAGAAATCAGGAGAAGACGGAAAGTTAGCGCCGGAGCGCGTAGGGATTCCGCCGTGGAGTCGGCGAAGTTTTTGGTCCGTAGGGACGGCTCGAGCTACAGGCAAGAGCGTGGGTTTACCGCTATCGAGCGAAGACGCGGGCAACAGCTGCGTGTGTGAAGCCGACGGATTTCCGGCGAAGAAGTTGAAGTTTGGAGAGTGGCCATTTGAGGACGCGAGGTTTCCTGGAAGAGAAACTTCGAGAACTACGGAACGACAACAACGCTGGACTTTGAGTGAGTGATTCTCGGAAGAGTATCATTCAGACTTTTGTTCCAAGGACTTTGGACTGAATAGGTTTTCTATCTCTTTAGTCCTTAAGTGTCTTGGTTGTTCAATGCATGCGACTGCATTGTAGTGCGTATTGTTGTCTGTGTCCGTTGTTTTGAGTGTGGCTGGTTGTACTGTGTAGTACGTTGTCTGATTGGTGACGTATTGTATGTAACTATTGTGGAGTGTGCATTCTTGTGTATTGTTTTCGATCTGCCATTTTTGAGAATATAATATTTGTTTTGTTTATCAACTCTCGACTCTGACTTGTTCTTTGGGCCACAGCCGGCGTCCGCTGGCGCACCAATAAGGACCACTTCTAAATTGTCCACGCTTTCGTGGTGCAGTTCGGGGGGCCGATACTTCGGCTCTTGGAACTAGCCCGGCGATCGCCTCCCTAATAAACGGGACATGTGTGACACATGGATAGCGACGCACTGCAGCATGCCCAGCCGACAAAGTTTGCAGGAGTGCCCGGAGCGAGCGTGCAGCGAGTGAATCCGGATGTGACAGCAGTGCCACATTTGTCGCTGGCAGCGGCGGCCCTAGGCAACATCGCTCAGTTTGGCAACTTACCTAGTTCTAGAAACGTTGGTACAAGCCTACATAAGGCTTTGGGTTTTAGGGAAAAACTGAACACGTCCCCGATACAAGCAAGTAAGAGACGGCAGAAGTATTGGTGGCAGAAATGGAGAGATAAGGACTGAAATAGTGAGAAAATGATGTCACTTTACCTGAAAAGGCAGAAAGATGGAACACGAACTTATTTTTTTCTTTGTTATAGTAAGATCAATTTAATCGAAGTACCGTATTTACTAGCGTAATGAACGCACTCGCATAATAAATGCACCCCCAACTTCAGTCATCAAAATTTCAATTTTTTTTTGCCCCCGCGTAATAAACGCAACCCCTACATTCATCCTCTGCAGTCCCGTTAAATACCTGGGAACTCCTCACCATTGGACCTTTTCTGTTTTTGATTACTTTGCCAACCCCCCTCAATCACCTCATCTCGCTTCTCTTTCTATCTGTAATAAACCCACACCCTAGATTCATCCACTGCAGTCCCACTAACGGACACCTGGTGCCTCCTCACCTATAGGCTCTCATCCGTTTAGTTATTACTTTGCCGACCCTCCACCACCACCTCGGCTCCCTTTCCCTCCCCCTTCGCCTGTAGCCGCGTGTCTATTGCTTTTCTATCTGTGAGCCGCAGGTCCTCCGTCTTATCTGTGCGCCACAGGGGTTCATGAGAAGTGGGAGTGTAGAGACATCGAAGCTGATAAGCACACAGGGAGCCAAGGTCGTCACCACAAGGGATGTCGGTCGCTTCCTGTGAACCCCCGCCCCTCTTCGTTTTTAGCCTTTCTTTTTTCTTCACTCTGTCCCTTCATTACCCTGTCCCCCCTTGCGTGCACACTTTTGGGCGCCCCTCGAGATTACAAGTGTTCGATACATCCGACATCAGTTGAGCGGGAGTTCAATATACGGGTGCACCGGTCTTATACTTTTGCATGGGAAATTCAAGGGGAATTCTCAACTGTTCTATAAAGCCAAGATATATCTGGGATTCACTGCAATCCAGCGCCTCTTCCTTTGGTTTTGTTCTTCATTTCACTCCACTACACTCAATTTACTAGAGTCCTTACAAATTATATCTCTTCGACATTCATCACTCTATAATATAAATGACGTGCACTATATGTGAGCGCTAAGCGCTGAGCATATCAAGATTTCGAGCTTGTGGGCTACACTCTGTCATATACACTTGCACAATCGGAAAGTCACAAAATGCAGCGAAATCACAAGTTCATCGTGTGGAATTATCATGCGAGATGCGAGGAATAACACGCGGGGAGGGGCGAATGCATGGTAAAGCAGAGTAGAAAACAATTTACAACCGATATTTCTCGTATATGCAGACCTGCCAACAGAGGAATTCGTAAAACACCGGAGCAAGGTAGAGGGGAGAGGGGGTTACTGACCTTTTTTTTTTTTTGCAGTTGCGATGGATTTGCCTTTAGCCACAAGCATACTCATGTTTTGTCACCATAAGTCAAATCGACGTGGTGAATTATTTTTCCCTATTTTTGGCACCAAGAAAAAAAAAGAACAATGCAAAACCCAGAGGGGGGAGGGTTTGCCAAACGCAAGCGCACACACCGGCATTGTGGTCTCATAATGAATGGTTGGAGTGGCCGAACACACAAGGAAAGGGTTTCCTTCTAAGGTGAGAGTCTCTAAGGGGGAGCCGCAAATGCTCCCAAAATTTCATGTCATCAAAACAACTGTTTGCAAGAAAATCAATTTCTATCAAAGCAACTTGCGTATGTCTTCACACATGAAAGAACGGGACAGCGTGGCTGGCCGCTGCGAAAGCGCGGGTCGAAGCTTTGGCTTTACTCGCTACTAGATTCTTTGGACAGGAACCCCAAAACGCTTCTAGCCTTTTTTTACGTCTTTGCCGCCTTTAATCCTACCGCTGCGTCAGCCACATGCCCCCGAAGCTCGTAGATTGCTATCGCATCGCTGCGACCACGGTTTTGTGCGTAGCGGTTGCGGCAAACGGTATTTTTGTTTTCAATCCACAAACCCTGTTTTCAATCCTCAAATTGTTTTATGCTTTCTACGGTCCCAACTGCTGTGGTATTGTCTACAGAGATTGTCCACAGCGCAGGTCGCACGCATACTTTCGAAGCTTCGAGGAGGTTGCTCTCATTCGTCCTTTGTTCGACAGTTTCGGTACTCAAGTTCATATATGCATGCTGCGATTAGAAAAAGTGTTCGAAACATTCAAATTTTGGTTCAATGGACACATGAGTTTGGATAGAGAATTTCTCTTATTCGTATATGCTGCGGTTTCGCATCAGTGAGACTATACTGTAACTGGGTAAGTTTAGATGAACGCCTTTCAAATTCGATTATGATAAAATGTGGTGGGCTTGCGAAAAGCCTGGAATGGACTGACCTGCATTTTGTCGATGCCGCCAGATCTCACACACAAATTTCGATTTCAGGGATATTTTTATGGCAACCGTACGAATGGAAGAAACGGTCAAAATCCGGAGACTTAATTTGCATGTATGTGATGACGATAACACCAATACATATTGTTTTTTTGCCGTAGCCAATCGTGGAGGCCCCGCTACTTTACTAATTTGATTTTTTTATCGGAAACGAAATATTGTTCGTAAAATTTCATGCAAGATTCGTAAAATCGTAAGCGCTGTCGAAATTCGTACATTTTATGTGAAATTCGGAAGAGTTGGCAGGTATGTATGTGGGACATTAGAAAGTATGTGCCCTAGTCACCTCATGTGAATTGCTGTTGTATTGTCACAAAGTGCATCAGGAGAATGAGAGACGCTGAAAGAGAATAGCATGCTCGATTTATGTATACATCGAGACACGGAAGAACAGTCAAGACACCGCCAATGCTGTTCCGAAAAATACTAAAGTTGCAGAAAAGAAAGTGATGTATATCATGTCCCTCAGGCTATCCACTCGGGCTAAAATAAGAAAAACGGTGGCACGGCACAATTATTGAGTGGCGGCGGCATGGTCTCTCTTGGGACTTCGGTGGTGACACAAACGGCAAGGGGCGCACAGCTGTACATGTGACAGGGGTATTAAATGACACCTAGAAAATTCTCACTGGACTAAAGCAAGAAGTGTTACTGAATAAACAAGGATACAGGGCTTTGTCCTTCTCCATGAGGTCCTGGTACATCTGCTCGTAGGTGACACCAAAGTCGTACACGTTGGGCTTGTCTGGTGCAGATCCAGGCAGTTTGACCTGGGCCCCTGAACCGAATGACCGCACCTTGAAGCCCTTCTTGCTGCGCAGACAACATTGGTCAAAGTTGTGCTCTCCTTCTCGAAGCACGTGTTGAATACATGTGAATACATGCAACACCTTCATGTACAACATTGGCGCATACGCAGCATGTTCCCAAAAGTCTAATGATAAAAACAGCTAACTATTCTTTTCCTTTGAGGAGGGAGAAAAATGAGCTAGTGACGCAAAAAATCGATACGGATCCCCTTTTATTTTATTGCGACAGCAATTATATGGACACTCTCAGCTGATTTTTGCCATTGCTGTCATGTCCAGAATATATATATATATATATATATATATATATATATATATATATATATATATATATATATATATATATATATATATATATATATATATATATATATATATATATATATATATATATATATATATATATATATATATATATATATATATATACTCACCGTGGTTCGAATCAGCGACCACTCGCTCCTCAGCGCACTGCTTTAAATAGATAGGCCACACCACTCATGCTGTCCGCCTCACCTGCGCAAACAGTCTTGAACAAAGCATTTACATTACTTGGACAAGCCATAATACTTTCCCTAAACATTGATGTGTTCAATGGTTTGATCAATAAATGGGTGTGTTCACTGAAGCACATACGGTAGGGGCATTCCAAAATGTCTGTCTCCACTTTAACTTTGAAGCAATAGAAAAAATTGCTTGCCTCAACTCCCGGACTATTGGGGAAGTTGCTGGCCTTGTCTTGCCTGTGAATTCAGTTCACATCAAAATGTGCACTGCCACTATCACTTTAGAATACAAACTCAAGTCGCTGCCCCAGATGAGTTGTGGTAATGCTTGTGCCATTAAAACAATGTACAACTTCATCATCGCAACAGTGTACTCAACTCCAGGACTATTGGGGAAGTTGCTGGCCCTGTGTTGCCTGTGAATTCAGTTCCCATCGAAATGTGCACTGCCACTATCACTTTAGAATACAAACTCAAGTCGCTGCCCCAGTTGAGTTGTGGTAATGCTTGTGCCTTTAAAACAATGTACAACTTCATCATTGCAACAGTGTACATCTCACCAAGAGCCTTGCGGACTGACACTCCTTGCTGCACAACTTCCAAATGGTGTGTCTACAAAATGTGTCGGTGTCAGTCAATGGAGACTTAATGTACCTCGATGTGAAAACCAGTGGCTCGTCACGTTTGCCGATGCAGAACTTTGCTTCTTGTCGGACTCTTTAAACGGCTGCTAGTGAAAACTTTGCAAAAACTGTCTAGCTTTAGCAGGCAGAAATTTGAGAAAACAAGAGTACAAATGCTATTACGCGTCTTCCTTAGAAAGAACGCAAACACTTGTTTCGGAAGCAGTAGCTGAAGCACATGCTGGAAAGATCATCAAATTAAAAAAAAAATCAGGGCAAATTTTACAGCTCCTCTTTCTTCGTTCAGCCTTCAGAGTTCCTCTCTGTGCATTGCAAGGAAAGCAGCAGTACATTGGCATTGCGATTTTCAGTCAATACACGCCTCACGTCGATACGCCTTAGGTATATGTAAGCACACGCGGACTGTGCGTACTCCATCACGCTCGAGCCTCTAACATGATGGCATGCGCACGACGGCCGACAAGTGGCAGCAATTTTGCATAAGGTCTATAGCTTAAAATTGGGGCCATTGCCAAGTATAACTGAGCCCATGCCAGCTCTAGCATCCTGCGAAATGCTTATTCTTAGCTCCTTCCAAACATGAGCATGGATTAAGCATCAAAGCAAAGTACACATGCTGCCAATAAGCCCATGCAGGATGGCCCACAGAGCAAATATGAGCCACAAAAAAGGGGAAAGGACAAGAGCAGAAATCGTGCACATGGGTTCGACAAACTTCTTCCAGGAAAAAAAAGTTAAAGAAAAAAAAAGCCAGCTTGCTGTTACTACTTAACGAGAGCATAACGTCCAAATGCTGCCCCATATTTGCATAAATAGGTGATGGTTGTATCAACTCTACTTCGGTGATAGTGAAAATCTACTACTTGGGATGGATCAAATCACTGCTATATCTAGACTGCCATCCCTAAGCAAGGGGATTCTGCTACATCAAATTATCTCTATAACATCTTCGCTTCGCAATAAATTCCAATTATATTTCTCAAACAAATTTAAATACATTGACAAAGGTCAGCACGGTTTCAGCAAGCAATAGTCATGTAAAACTTAACTCTTTATTAACAAACTATTTTGAGCATGTGACCCTTGCTCTATTATTGACAGTTTCCCCCGACTTCTAAAAAGCCTTCAATTCCACTTTTTGCTGTCTATTTCTATGAAAACTGAACATGCTAAACATTTCTGCCAATTTCTTGAAATGATTCAGATCTAACAGAATTCAGTATGCAAGTATGCCCAGCAACCAACAGCGGTTTAAGACCCCTTCCTCAAACCACTGTTGTCCTTCCCTTACATTATTAGCCTTAACACTTGCATTTTACCAACAACTAGGTCAATGTATACAGCAACCTCATCTTGACAGCTGTTCTTTCTACTCAACCAAATCAAATGTTAATAAATGCAACATACTAAGAGATAGGAACTGTTATATCTAATAAAAGGAAAAAGCACAGTCACGTCACTGCTGATGCATCCCAAGTTGCATGTATATAATATTTCTAAGCAAGATGTTGGGTTATCCAATTAAACTGCTTGCCACCAAACAAGTCGCAGCTGCTTTTTTGTTCCCCAGCTACAACACCTGGCGGCGAAGATGCTAAATTGAGTCTGCGATGGGAAGGGGCGGTTACTGCAAAGGACTGAGGCAAGTCAGAGCATAGCATGACCAAGATGTGGGAATTCAATGCCTTCCTGAGGGGCAGGAATGAAGAATTTGCTTTGTACAAGAAAAGATTCGAACAATACTGCAAAGAAGCCAACATACAAGAGAAGAAGCTTAAAGAGGCCCAGAGACACAAATTAGGTGAGCTGTTTTCATTGTTTTTGCTCAAGCTAAAGGATATACCGATATCATTGCCAAGTGGCAAATAATTTTATTTCAATGAAGAAAGTACACTGTCTTCAGACTAAAGCGACACACTATTTTTGTGACCGGAAGTGATACTTCACCACATGGGAGTGGCAAGATAGGTTTTTATTGGTTTGCTGAAAGAAGTGGTACTCCCGATAAGACCACACTACTATTCACCAGTGTTGAAGAATGGCACCTTCATTCCATTCCGAAAAACGAGGACTTGCCAGAATTTTATTCCTTTTAATTCCTCGCAACGAAAAAACTTCACCGATTTTCCCTAGGAGATTTCCCCTAGGAGAACGTAATTACTCAATGTTAGAAATACGTCTTGATAGTTTTAGAGCTAATAACGAACACTCCCATAAAGCTGGTGTCTCAAGATTCATTAAAACTGCAAAAGTACGAAAAACTTGTAACTAAGATTGAGGGATAGTAGCTTGGTATATTATCTTGGGCAGTAATACCATCATACTCATGTAATTCTCATAGGAGAAGTTCTCTCGGTACATATAGTATCTGCATGGTAAGCAAGTTTGAATAAATGGGCTGTTTTAATAATGTTTAAGCTTAAATGTGGTAATGCCAAAATGATGACATAGAATATACATTTGCTGACAAAAGTAGTGTTCAAAAGACTAAGCTGCGTTGTCCCACGTATGAAGCGGTCGTGAATATGGGGAAAACTAAGATTTACTAAAAACTTTCATTAATAGGGTACGAAACCCTCTATATCTGCTGGTATTAGTAAGAACAGTGCACCACCGCTTGGTCACTTTCTGCCTTTGCATCAAATATGAAACACTGAGCAGCACTGCTCGTCAGCACTCTTGCTTGTCAAGAGCGCCTCGCAAGCATAGATGGGGAGGGGAGATCTTTCAGTGTTCGCCTGTACACAGCTATGCAATGTCTTTGTTGTCACGTTGGACCAGGCGCCTTTCTTTTGCGCTTCAATTTTTTCGCGCAACTCAGTTAAGATGAATTACCAACTCGCCCAGTAGTCTGTGCTTTTTTGTCTCAGAGGTTATTTACTTGTGTCAGGTGCTAAACTGCTCGTGAGATAAAGATCAGGCAGTTCATAGAGCATTCGGTACTTTTGTGTGGGGTATCAATGTGAACGAATTTCCAGAAATAATTTCTCCCTTTAGTATCTGTTGGCATAATGCATTTGTGCAATACCTCATGCCTTGGTTTCTTTTTTACAAATTGGCAGATTGTTCCGACTTTTGGACCACGCCAACCCTTCACTTTGGCTAATTGAAGGTGGACCTAAAAAATGCATTCTGACCTTCAACTTCAATAGAACATGTACTCAGGCCTACATTACTAATTAGAGTGTGGTATTAAAGTATTAAGGGTGTAGCAAAATACATTCTTCCGCAATGTGTTCTTCGTTTGGCCATGCAAACGCGGATATATGCTGAGTTGTAGGCACTGAGCGAGATTGCAAAAAAAAGATACAAATAATGATAATATTGATATGATCCCACCCCAGAGCAGTGGGAGTGCAGGACGACCAGCTCTCAGCTCAATATTAAAAAATGCCTCATCTCCTGGGCGCCATCTCTCGAACGCCTTGTTTTCTGATCATGTTCGGCAATTGGTCACTAGTTGTTTGATCACCAGGCTTACGTCACAAAGTACTTAAGCATTTTCGTGATTTTTAAATGCTGCAATGAAGGTCACAAGCCACACAAGGTGCAAAAAGAGGCGCTCTTTTGGTTTTATTCATAGAAACTTCGCCACGTGATATTATGAGCTGAATGGGCGCTTCACCGTTTAGTTTTTAAAGCCAGAATTGTCAATAATGGCTTTTTCAACAATTGGTTTTAAAAAATTGAGCTAAAACACTTGCCATCTATCTCTGTGTTGTGCTTCACAAACATGAGCTGCTCGCGCGTGGACCATTGGACGCAAAAGCCTATGTGGTCATGCATTATGGTAGCCACCTTTTGTAGCCGCTAACAGGCGCGGTGGTGGCTTTCCCCCCGGCGCTGCCTCCACCCTAGAATAGAACAACTGTGGGTTTTCTTCAGCGTAAATCGTCGCTTCAGGACTCAGGGAGGCACCGCCGTGGCCACGTGGGCTTTCCTGCTTCGAGCAGTTTCCCGAACCAATGCTTTTAAAAGTTTATTCTCTTTGTCCGTACGGAGGGGGAGCGCGTACAGTTACTCTTGTACGACTGTGTGATGCGCTAGCCTAGACCTTTGCCGACAGTTTTGGGCGAAGGCACCCATGTGCCTAGACAGTGAAAACAGTACCTAGTTGAAAGTCAGTGCTCTTTTCCGTCCTTGTTTTTTCACTTCCGTAGTTACGCAGTAACTACTTCTAGGTTGCGCTGTTCCTACATTCAGTTATGTCCTACCAACTAGCCTAAGTTTTCATACTTAAGTGAAAACAGTATTGCAGGGGGGGGGGGGTACGAGGTGAGAAGGCGCGCAAGGTAGTATACGAAAGCTTGCAGTGAACGAAATAATCAGGCCAGCCGTTATTACTCATCACAACTTAGAGAAGGGTTGTTTGGAATATGCGTCCGAGCCGCCGATGTCGACATAGCGCAAAGTGAAGGGTGGGGAGACAGTAAGGCGGGTGGGCCACTGCAGAGTAAAAAAAAAAATCGCAAGGTGTAAATGGAGGGGGGATGCTGCTTCCTTAGTTCTGCTCGTCCGCAGTTCCGCAAAGAATGGAGACAAATTTAGGAATAACACAGTCAATAAAACGACAAAATTGTAGTATGTGCGTTACTTCTAGATGTACCGTGCTTGTAATTAGCCAAGCGATTTAGAAATGCTGCTATATTGTTAAACTCAAGGCTCTCATATATTAATGTCTGAAGTTCAAAAAACTCCACGTGAACGAAAACGTGCCCTATTTGCGCGAAAACACATTTCGTTTTCATTCCATTCCAGGCAAAATGTTCTCAATTCTAGTCCCATTTCATTCCTGCAAGCATTGTCCCCATTCCATTTCAGGGTCGCCAAAATGTGGAATGATTCCGGAATCACTTCAATTACGGAGTGGAAACACTGCTGTGCTCTAAAACTTATAAATGCATTCTAAGTTAGAAAAGAACTTGTTTTAAAATATGAAAACAATTGAAAAAGGACGATAGGAGTGCTGCACAATGACCACCATGGGAACAGTGGTCCAGTAAGCCTCTGTACGAGAAGCGCAGTGATTTTAAATGGCTTTTGACGTCAGTGGGAGCGCAAAATACGAAAGAGAACGTTTCTTCTCATCATCTGCCAGGGTTTCGAAATTTGAAGGTTAATTTCTGTTACCGTATACCAATTTCGATATTTCTTTTTGTGCCCATCTCATTATTCCACACCACACGAACTCCAGTGCAGCAGAATGCATATGAAGAAAGCATCCCAGAGACCTTTTAAGATGTTTCCCTTCATAATTGTAATTAGCAAGAACTCAAGGATTTTCTTCTACCAGCAACCTCTGCAGAAACTGAGGAAACTTCCGCCAAGGTACAGCAACTAACGTTGGAAGCTACAGATTCTACTGGTGCTGAAGACCCTCCTGACCCTTTGCGACACTAAAGCACTAGAATTTATTGACCACTAAAGAAATATGCATATGAAAAAAAGGCAAAAGGAATGCTGTATCTAGCATAAGAAAAAGCACTGCTGATGCATCACAAGTCGTGTGCATATGCAAGTACAGGTTTATCAGAATAAGCTGGTCTACACCAAATTAGTTGCCACTGTTTTTTTGTTTCCCAGCAGGGCCAAGGTTGGCTAGGCGTGTGATGCCATTAATAAATTGACAAGCACAGAAGGAATAGGCTCATGTTGAACAGGGCCTGAAGTAGCCACAAAAGATGGACTGGCATAATGAGGGCCACCCAAACTTACTAGTTTTCAATTGTCTCTCAATCATACCTGCACATGCCAAGATGTCCTGACAGATAGGATTTGATCATGAACATGGAATAACCATACAATAGCAATGTAAAACTTCGGCAGTATTGTTCGGTTCTACTGTGCAATAATTTTGCAAACCTGCATCATTAATGCTCCTTATTAAGCATACGAACAAGTGCAGGCTTTTTCAGTCTGCAATCCTCAATCTTCTAAACTTGTAGGCTCACAAAAAGTCATCAAAGAGTATCAACTATGTGTGTTGCTAACTATTTTTACACCACCCTGGTTGCTGCAATAGAAACGCCTCTGCCACTCTACATTGACCATAGCTTTAAAGTGGCTCCTGCCAAACCACCATGAAAGTCTACTCGTTCGAGCCTGGATGGAATCGCCCACGCACACAATTCAAGACCTCGTACTAGTCACTCCATTTAAAGAACTGCTGCTGAAGACACTGGCTGCGTACGGTTTTCGGGGCTCACGCACAGCATTTACGGCGTGGTACATTGATGAAAGCGTTTTCCGGCCTGGCCCAGATTCCGCCGTGGTTACAGCAGAGACGAGGAGCTTCTCTTGATCACATTTCATGTGCTTATTAACATGGCTTAAGGCTCAAAAGTCGATATGCTTTTCATGGTGCCCTGTAAATGGGTTGTTAGAGACCAACCGCAGTTTCTGGCGGCGTTTCTTAGGCTCGTGCGAAGCGCTTACGCTTCACCACTGTTTCCGGCCTGTGTCACGGATAAGCCGGTTCCGCGCCCTGTACGAGCCGAGTGCCTTCCATTCTCACGCATTTTCTTTGTTTCTCGACGCCAGCCCCGAACGGAGTGGCTGACGGACACAGCGCCAACTACACACCTCAGGAACGCGTGAGCTTCCATGCTTCGGTTCTGGTTGCTAGAACACACCACAGCCAGGCGAAGTGATCCGGGCATGCTGACGCTTTCTTTTTAACAGGAGGCAGCAACAGCAGCGATCGGCACCATGCCCGCACGGCTCTCGAAGAATGTCAGTAGGGATGAAAAAGCCCCGTCATTGCTGTCATCTGGTCCAGGTGGCTGCTACCAGAGGGAATGCAACACTGGTTTGGTGAGAGGTGTGTGAACTAAACTACAAAAGCGACTGAAGTGGTAGGTGTTTTCTGCTAAAGCCACAGAGCATAGAACTTATAGAGCCTCTCATTACTTCTCATGGAGCCACGATCGAATCAACAGAAATCAGACAGAAATCAACTACTCGCGCATGCTCAACGCGTGTGAGGGTGATGATGACCACCACCACGCAGTGCTGCCAGCTTGTGGAGCCACTTTTTCCCTCTCTGGAGTGAAATTTTTTTCAGATTTCCTTAGATTTTTATGGAAAGCAGTTTTTGAAGACTAATATGTGTTTGAGTTTTGGAAAACGATTTACAAGTTCCGTTTACTTTTATAATATATTAATGCATTCGTTTGAAAATACACACTAAAATCACCATGCTGAAGGTTAAAAAATGTCACAGTACAAATTCAAAAGATTTAAAAACACTTTATCCCATGAAATCACAAAGGTAAGCGGTAATCACATTTAGCGGTGGGTGGGAGGGGGGAAGACATGTAGTATACTTAGAGGTGTGCGCCGACTGGTCGGCGCGCCGCCGCCGAGAGTTTTCGCCGCGCCGCCGCCGCCGACGCGAACTGATCCGCGCGCCGCCGCCGCCGCCGCCGACGTTTTTCTTCGGCGCAATCGGCGCGCCATTTATGCACCAGTACCGAATTTTCACAGATTTGTCCTTTTCTTTTTCATCTTGATTTATAGCTTCGTTTCACATTTATGTGGCCAGTAAAAAACAGGCTTCTCAGTTATCTTCATCCAGCTTTAGAGACCGAGAGTACCCCTATGAACAGCGGCACAAGTTCGGCGGCCGCTGCATGAAATGACATATTGGACAAATTGACAAAAAATAATTGTAACAGTTACAGTAAAGCATAGACGCTGCCATCTTAGGCTTAAAAACAATTTTTGCTGGTTTTCTATGTCGTAATTAGCAATGATTATGGGCATACGACGTTGAATGTACTGGCCCAGTGTGTTGATGCATGCGAGTTCACCGTAGCACTATTCGAATATTCATATGGATGCAAAACGGCATCATTACCAGTCCAAGATGGCAGCCTATGATCGGGCTCGAAACAGGGCGTATACACAGAAGAAATGAAATGGTTGCAGTGCAGCAGGAATGCAGCGCGTTAGGTGAAGAACTACCCAAAGCCCCGAAGGATGAAATCGAAAGGGAGAAGTTTAATGGAGATTAGAAGCGTCGAGGCATAATACATGCTCGAACCTACTCAGGGTATATCATCACCTGTCCGTGGTGTTAAAGTTGATAATTTTCGAGGATGACCACTTATATACAGCGTCTCAACATGCTGCAGAAAATATTTGATGCCTTTTAATTCAGGCATCAGATATCCGGGATGAAGATGCCAAGGCAGTAAGATGGCAAGAGAGAGAAAGGAAGGCTGGGGGATTAACCAGATCTTGGCATCTGGTTTGCTGCCCAGCACTGGGGGTGGAGAAATAGGGCAAGAAATGGGGTGTAGAGAGACAGAAAAGAAAACGCATGTGCACTCAGGAGTAGGATGGCAAACTTAACATAGGTTTTATTACATTCTGTACAGACAGGGCGAGAGATCTCTTGCGAATGAGCTGGGTGGCTCATTATAAAGTGTGCGTTTTGACTAAATCAGGGAATGGGTCATAATGCGCTGTTGAATCACGAGGGACACACACCATTTCTGACGGTGCCGCTTACACTCGCTCAAGTCAACGTCTTTGATTGGGGCGTGGCCACCACACTGCACCTGTGACACCAAGAAACCACTGTGGTCGTCACGTCGAACGTCTTATGGTGTCGGAATGCCACCTCACTTCCGGCTAAGATGGACAAAACACGGTGGACAGCAGGCTGGCAGCCCTTCGGTGACTTGTTTGACGAACAAAGAACGCCGCTCTCCCCCGTCGGCCCAGGCGCCACGTGTAGCAACGCTATATAAGTGGTGAGCAGAGGCGTAATAAGCTTGTCTGAGGCCACCAGTTTTAAAAAGAACAAAATAAAATTTAAAAAACTTGCCAGCAAAAAGTTTACAAAAGACGGCTGGATTCGTCAATAATGCGGAGACAGACACTTGAGCGACATGTCATATATGACGTAGTCCAGCAAACATGTTTTCATCACGTAGCTTGAACGGACCTACTGGCGCTGTGAAAGATAAATAATAATTGTTCTGGACAGTGGTGATGTACTTCTGTTGCGAAGGCAATGCTCAGAATTAACCAAATAAATCTTAACTTTATATTCAGGTTTAGATAAAAAAGTTAGTCAAGTTAGAAAGCTCCTCTGGTGGCTAAGTAATAAATTACTTCATTATACTTTATGTTGAAGCAATTCGCAAATAAATAATGCAACCTCTGTTTAATTGATATTCAATGACGTGACTGCAATCAACGGTGTGTCGTCGCTATAAAACTGGAACCTTATCTGCGGACACGAGCGTCCGAATGCAGCGAAGAACGAATATGTCACGTAATAAAAGCGATGTGATGTCGCACATATTCACCTGTACAACTCCGTGCCCTTTTGCTTGCTCGTGATGCATTCGAAGGAGCTAGCCAAGTATCGGGTAGAAGTCGAGCAGAGTAGCCGGGGCTGATAAGAGGAACGTTTCTATACACTATTTACACGCTAAAGGTAGCTATACGTTGATGGTAGCATCATGGAAGCGTGATGGGAGCTTCTCAGGGATGGTTCAGAGCGTCTCGGTGCTCACGCTTTACGCCCTGGTCTTCCTAAAATTACCTGCAGGAGAAAACAGTGGACAGTTTACAATAATCTGCCAGGCAGCTTTTCTGTAAGGTTAGTTTTTCAAGCAAGAACCTACGTTCACAGGTTGCTTTTCTCGCTCATTTCGTTTTTGCAATTCCTTTTTTTGAGATCGTGTTGTGCTCGCGTGCCTTCGCTGGAATTTGGCGAGGTGACATTTTGTTGTACTCGCGTGCTCAAAATGAGAAATAGAAGCAGTCTGTCAACGAGAGTTTTTGGTTGAAAAACAAACCTTACAGGAAAGCCGCCTTGCAGATCTGCAAACTGACAGACTGCATGTCAATTCAGTTCAGGGCAGTACGAACAAATTGTCGTCTTCATCTCCATACGCCAAATGTGTGTGGGGGGGGGGGGGTAGAATAGTGGTTATAAGAAGGTGCCTAATTTCTGCCGCCCAGCAGGGAGCGCAGGGAGCAGCAAATAAGGATTTGAAAAAAAAACGAGAGAGGGAGAAAGAGAGAGAAAGTCAAACACTGCCTTCTTTTCAACCCAGGAAAGAGAGAAGGTGCACGTTCAGTTTGTCATACGGCGAGAGAGAAACATAACGTAGGTCACAGTGCAACAATACGCACAAGACATCACAGTGCAATAACACTGCATCGCATGTGCGGAATAGGGTCTGCAGCGCTAGGCAGGCTAGGGCTTGTGAGAATGGAAGACTTTCAAGCACCACAGTGTGTGGGAAACATACCTGACGACGGATCCCAAGCTCTCCGCAAATTGTTCAGCGCGTCTCTTGGCGCGTCGAACAAATCAAGCAGGCTCAATTTCAAACAGCTCTTCGTAGGCCGCCGGTCAGTACGGCGTGTCCAAAGAGTTTTTTGACGAGGGGAGCCAACAGCCCTAAAGAATTCGAAGTATGACTTTCGCGTTGTCGCCGCTTTTGGCGCACCTCGAGAGCGTTGATCCGGAACAAATCAGGGTAGGCTTAGCTGCAATCGTCCCCCACGTCCAAGCAGTGCCCAGCCAGGGAGGCCGATCTTAGCATCTTCTACAGACACACGCACATAAGCACACATAGTTTCACTCCGAGAGGGAATTGGTAGTGGTCGCAGTGACGTACCTAACGTGCATCTACTATAAAAAGGCGTGCAGTGTATGCGATAGCTTTTTTGAAAGTCTTGTAATTCTAGTATATTTTCATTATATAGCCGAGGTATGAGGCGGTTGTTACTCGCATTTATTTGAGTTAAAGTACTACAAATATTTAGTCGCCGCGCATGACTTCTGGAAATGATAGTCCAAAAATACTAAAAAAAATGAAATCGCTCCAATATTTTTTAAACTAAGTTCGCACGTGGGAGTACTTGTTCTCTGTCTGCGCTTTTCCATGGTTCATTAGTGTTAAGCCCCGCTGCTGCTTCTATAGAATGGTGTACGATAAGCCATATCAACGCAGTGACAGGATTTCCAACAGACTACCAAGCATTCGATCACCAGGAATTTTCCCTCCGGCATATTTTGATTGAAAGAAGCGACATATTTTTGCTGAAAACCCGGTTTATGCACTGGGGCCCGGTGCACAGATGTTCCAAATTGCAACTCTTGATCATCGCGAGCGCGAAGACGGCAAGTGAAAGCCTCTATGCTGTTGTTTGTACGGCTGGTGTAACGAAACCCTCCAGTCTTGAGGGTGTTGGGTTAAACCATGCACTTTGCCCATTGCTATTTTTCATCATGGCGTTTGTCTATTAACTGACTTGTGCTATGTGGAGCACGTGGCAGTAGTGCCGATGTGCTATTTGGTGCTGGTACAAAAAGAAAACTTGTCTGGATCGCTTCTTCAATGAGTCCTTCAATTAAACCTATGCTACGGGGCTGCATAGAAGACTATACGCCTGACACACTTGGAAAAGTAAAGCACATTGTAAGAGGCAACTTCTGCTAATTGAAGGACTTGTAGACCATCGCCATCTAGACATTGGTGTTCTGCAGAAAACCAGGTTTATGCACTGCGTCAGTGAGAACAGATTGTCTTCCAACCTCCTGTGTTTCCGAAACCCATTCTGCAGTTCCCCCAGCACCCCCTCATCCTCTATCCATGCCTGCAGTCTTTCTTTTATAATCTGCATCGCCAGCCTGTAGACCACTGATGTCACCGTTATAGGACGGTAGTTGTTTATGTCAGCTTTGTCCCCCTCTCCTTTATAGATCATGCTCATCCTGCTAAGTTTCCATCCATCGGGAACTTCACCATCCATTATTAGTTTGCTCACTGCCTCTCTGAAAGCCTGCTTAGACTTCGGACCTAATGTCTTTATAAGCATAATTGGAATGCCATCTGGGCCTGTTGATGTGCTACTAGAAACCCTTTTCTCAGCCCTTTCCCACTCTCGTTGTGAAAATGGAGCCATTGCGCCACTTGCTTCATCCTT